GGAGGAGCGGGGGATCGAACCAACAACCTTCTGATTAGTGGATGACCCGCTCTGCCTCTGTGCCACAGCTGTGCGAAATCTGGAATCAGCCAATGAATTCTTTAATTATGTCTAAACACCTATTTTGAGATCACAGTGACCTTTGACCTTTGAGTCATAATGTCACCAATTCAGTGTCCAACCAGCTGTAAAATATATCTCTTCTTCTGTTCCTGAGTTATGGTTTGAATAACGACCAAAAAAGTTACAGTAAAGTTGACCTTTGACCTTTGGATAAAACATGCCATCACTTCATAGGTATATCCTGTTAAAGACCTGCGTGATTTTTTTTTTTTACAACATTATTCTTGAGTTATAGATATTTCGCGAGGTCACATTGAATTCTAATCCGTTCATCCTCGAGTCTAAGTGCACATTTTGTCAAATCAGAAGAAATTCCCTCAAGGTGTGAAATATTGTGTTCGCAAGAATGCAACGACAACCGGAAACCCGGGGAAAAATTCACAGATTACTGCTGCTATGCACATACACTGTATAGAAAAGAATTAACACAAAAGAGCAAAACAATTATTTCTCAAACTTTTTGAGCAACTTTAAGGCTTTAGGTCTGACCAACAATACTGATCCTGACTTAGTTACAGATGGGAAGCTCTACAGTGAGAGCTGCAGCAATGACCCGACTCGGGTCTGAATATGGATCATTATATGATCATTGTCATTAGTTATCTCTAGTGCACAAACATGAGACTGTAGCCAGTAAAGGCAGCACAGGCAGAGATAGAGGAATCACTTGTCAGTCAACATCCTGACCTTCTTACCTAGTTACTAAGTTTGGCTGTACATCTGTGCTCTGTGTCGACTCCTTGAGCTCCCATTTCACAATAATGCTGCCTACTGTGAGAGTTTATGCCCTTCCCTTGTTCAGAGATGTTACCACAGTGCTTTGGACAAGGATGGCAATATCATAATGGTCTGTATCTGCTTGTATGTAACATTTACTCATTAAATTGATTATCAACCACTAGACTAATGCTATATTTTGTTGAGTTGTGTACTTAAATTATGCCAGCTGTTTCTGTAATTTTATTTAGGAAACATTATGTTTCTTACTTCCCTCTAGTTGCTATAGCTTCCGGGTTAACAGGGCAGAATGTGAGAAGAAGATAATGACTGGAGTGGAGTGACCTTTCATGAAGTTTTCCCAATAAGTTTTATTGGACTTCACAGTTGACATTATTCAGTACTGACAGTAGGGTCAGTGGCTAGGGATACGAATCGAGAGAACCGGTTTCTTTTGAGAACCGGTAACAAATTGTCCAATCTATGTGAAACGTATGCCTCCAAGCCGTGGCTTTTTCCCCCCCATAAAACAAACGTTTAATCTGACTGTCACATAATGTAATATTTCCAAAGATGACAAGGTGAACAATAATAATACATAATCTGGCCTTCCCTTTTCTCTCTGCTTATGTGTTCTCTTCCTAAAGATTGAATCTGTCCAGAAAATCTGAGAAAAGGTGTCTTCCTCACCAAAAGATAACAAGAAGTGAAGTTTGAATTGGGTGTATCATGTTCAATTTAGAATGGTTAAGTAGAAATAAATAATTTATCTTACCTTTTCCACACCCTGTGGTGTCACCCGCACGCTCACCCCATCACGGATGTAGAAGCCCAGTGGTTTGTGGGTACCGTGCTTGTGGAGTCGTACACGTCGGTGTGTCTCAGGTAGGATGTCCACGTCGATAATGGATGAGATCTGTCTGAAGTTCTGTGGCAGGCCAATCATAAGGCCCGGTTTGTTCCTCGAGTGGGTGGAGCCTGAGCCAGTGGTGCGCAGTCCGGTTAAGCCCAGACCCTTTTTACGCCTCTGGAGGGAGTTGGTGGCAAAAATGACAGGTTCATCCTCTTAAAGAAGACACAAAGAGGGATGGAGAGAACAGTTAGTTTATGTGTCATGGTTTTATTAATTTTAATAATCATAGAGAATTTAACATTTAATTAAAAAAATGTTTCAAAGGTCTGGGAACTCTCCCTCTCCTCCGTGCAATGTCTCTCTCAAAATGCCAAATAATCGG